CCCTCTCAACCAGAGGAGCCTTGGCACAAGAAAAAGATTGCTGACACATGATTGGCTAGAGTCTTGGACAACGATTTTATTTAATTCCCATGCTGGTTTCCTTTCCAAAATATCCCTTGTGGATATCTAAATAAACTTGCTCAATACCTATCAATAAAGGCTGGAAATTTAAAAGAGAATTAAAATTCTGACCGGAAGTGGCATTGACCTGGTTTGTGATGGAAGACTTTATCGAAAATTTTCCCTGTAAGCTAGGTTTAAACTTTCTGGGAGATATATAGGTGATTTCATTGAGCGGTTTTAGGGAGACATAAACCAGTGTTGTTTTCAGCAAAGAAATGAGCCTCAAATTAGTGAAAGTCTTTGTCTAGGAATCTAACCAATCAATTGGAGTGTCCAGAGTATCCTTTTCCTCATGCCATGTCTCACTGGCCAAGAGAGATTGGTAGATCTGGGCACAAGAATGAGGCTACAACTGTATACCCTATCAAGGACCTTACAATGTATATTCATACATGTAACCACAAATGCTAGCTTAATAAAATAGCTGGGTAGTTTACCCGTTATTCATTATTTACACCAACTTGGTACTTGTTTCCCAGTATTATTGAATCATTTTTCTGTTGTAGAGGGAGAACGAGGCTAGTTCAGATTATGCTCCAAGCAAACTGTACCGTTATCGTGTTATTCATATCAGCTTTTTTTCGTTACTTTACCAGGTCGCTGGGGCAGTTGTCAAAAGTGGTGGAGATCAAATCCAAAGTGAGAGTGATGAGTTTGTGGCTAAGAACGGACCTGTCAAGACTGGCGAGATTGCAGTAACTGGCCCTGGAAACCTTCCATGTAAAATTGTTATCCATGCAGTAGGTACGATATCATGTTTTATTGACTCTGTGTGTAGAAAAAGAAGACACCACAGGGTAGTCACTAGGTAGTAGAGATGGGTTGAACAGGTATCAAGGTGTGAGAGAGGAAGAGTCTAGAGACTACGAGATGTTCAGAGTTCCCATAAAAAAAGTTTTTAAGTAACATTGTGTACCTATTAAAAATAGAAGACGAGAGAATTAGAAAGGTTTAAAAGTTTGACTTCTCGAGGAGTTAGGTACAAAATATCAAGCACAAAAGATTAATACACCCAGTTTGAAACAGAATGAAATATCTTAAACTAAAATCATCACAGCTCGGTTTGACAACATTCCCCTTCCCTCCTCCCCAACAAAAGAAAAACAGCAAAAAGTTGTCATGCAACAATTTACCAAAATGGTCCATTCGTTTATTCCGAAATCCTTCGAGTCACCAAACCACCGCCTCTTGATGATTCCCTCCTGTCTGCGTTTGACCCTGTTTGTTTGACTGTGAACAATTGCACTGCGTCAATTTTTACGCTAGATAGTTGTTCATAACGAGATTATCAAAGAAAGGATATCACTACGGAAAATAAGAGAGCGTTATTTCTCTGTCCCACTATTCTTTTCCCAGAGAAGAGAGGCTACTTCAAGGAAACGTTTCTATACTCTAAACTCGTGCACTTTAATTTGGTTTAGGCCCAGTGTGGGAAGGAGGCCAGAAAGATGAAGATAACAGCCTTCACACAGCGATGTACAACTCCCTGACGGAGTGTCACTCAAGGCTTCTTAACAGTGTGGCTGTTCCCGCCATAAGCAGCGGTATTTTTGGCTTCCCGAAGGCGCGATGCGCCAAAATTCTGTTCTCTGCCGCGCTGGAATTTTTCCGCGCGGAGGCTAAGAGCTCTGTTCAACTGGTTCGTCTTACAAACTTTGACAAGGCCACTGTGGAGGTGTTCAAGGAGGCTGCAGCTGATCTTAATGATGAACCCGATGTTAGAGTTCAGTTTGGTCAAATATCATGATTCTTATTTATTTATTTCAGTGCTTGCTAGATATGCCCTGAAAAAAGCTCGTACTGTCACTGTGAGATGTTTCATCATTTTGTCTATTTACCTGTCATCGGTGCTGAAAAAGTAACTTAGTCCAAGCCGTGACATCAGTGAAATCGGGCAGTTTTGCTCTAAGTTTTTCACGTGAAGGCATCAAATTCTAAAATCAGAAATCTTAAGGCCCTTCAAGTTTTGATATTTATTGGCTATAATAGTATAAGACTTAAAAAGTTTATATTTTCTAGCACGTTTTCAGCTCGATAGCAACCTTTGGCTTGAAGGAAAATCATTTTTAAAATCCAACTTTTCCAAGTTTATAAGAAGGATTGTGCCTCACGAGGTTGAACTGATCGCATGAAATAACCGAAGTAAATTCCAGATGTTTTGATTGATGACTGTCCGCCATGTTGGTGCCCCTCCGTAGGGCACAAATATGGCCTTTTTATTTTTAACTCCATAGATTTTGAGAAACTTCGCATGTGACGGATTACTAGGCTCGATTTCCGCCGCTCTCTCGTGTCTGATCTGCGTCCCTTCCCTAAAATTTTTGGTGACAGTTAGTCTGCTGGCAGCCGGTTTTTTCCCGTAGGGTCACTTAGACGAGTGTTTAGTCATCGCGAACGCAAAAGGGCAGTACGGCGGTGGCCGAGTGGCCATTCCCCTTTACGCTGAAGCGTCATTCCTCAAAACCCTTGCTGAATTTCGAGAGAAAAACAGACTGCCAGCAGTCTAGGTGACAGTGTGCGGCCCGAACCTTGAAAACTGTACCCTATTTTAGACCAAAATCTGCAATTTTACATACCCTATTTCGGACCGGAACGAAACATCGATACCCCTCTAATATGTTGCAGCAATAACCAGAAATGGCTTCCATTTGGGTAAGCATTTGAGAAGGACTACAAATTTGCCAATGTTGATGCAAAAAAAAAAAGACAATAGTTCCTTGAAAACAAAATACCCAGTGCCTAGCCAGAGTGAAAAACATGCCCTGTTTCGGACAAAAATGGTCAAAATCTCTACCGTTGGGCCGCAGACCTATAGAGCCCATATACTGGAGTACCCCTCCCCGGGTTAGGGTTAGTTACGCTAAATTTAATTCAGTAGATATGTAGATATTTTCAAGAACCATTGTTGGTTAACGGCGACATGTGCACTAAAGTGACCTCCACGTGTTCACGCTCTTTGTACAGCGAGATTAATAAAAGATATATTTTTCAAACAAATAGCCGTGGTAGAACTGTTTTCTTCCTGTGGGCGTTTGTGTCAGTATGGAGATGAACAAATGATATTCCCAAGTTAGGCGTGTGCTAATTATCGAGATTATTATACATTGTAGGCACCATCTGTCCTCTCATTGGCTAAAAGCCCACAGCTAATTCTGGGAAACAGCGCAACCTGCAGATTATTCAGTAATCTGCTAGCAGATTAGTGAATAATCCGTAGGTTGCGCGCACAATGCATGATTTCCAAGAGCAACGTCAAGTTCACGTAAGAACATGGCTTGTCGAAAATAAACTGTGTTCGGTGCGATAATGGGTTTGTCGTTATTTTCTTTAAAACAATGTATAATAAAACAGTTATGAGATTCGGTTTTTGTGATTCCGGAATAATCAAGGTCTCGGTTAGTGTTATCAGCCTCAGCCTTCGGCCTCGGCTGATA